CCTTCAATTATCCACCTTCCTCTTTGGCCCTCCTTCCCCCACCGCTGCCACATACTTGTGTTTTTCCTGATACTTGTGTTTTTCCTTCATGAAGGACTTTCTTGGTAACAGATTTATTTCAACTCCTTGACACTCCCACTATCATTTTTGTCAAAAATAAATGTTTCAGTCAATGCCACAATCACCATCAGCAACACAACAGAAAAGGGGAGGAGAGATTTCACCTAAAAACGATGTCTTTTTAGCTCCTAGGGGCTCAAACAGATATTAAATTTGATTATCTTAATGAGGCAGAAAAGGTTGTGGATGAATTTGTTTTTGTGGTAAAATATACATAAAACAAAACTCTCCATTTTAACCATTTTTAAATGTACAGCTGTGTGGCATCAGGTACATTCATGTTGTTGTGCAACCATCACCACCATCCGTCTCCAGAACTTTCCCATCATCGCAAACTAAAACTCTGTCTCCATGAAACATTAGTCCCCCGCCCCCCCCAGCCCTGGCACCCATCGTTCTACTTTCTGCTTCTATGAAGTAGATGGCTTTAGCTACCTCATATAAGTGGAACATATAGTATTTATATTTTTGTAAATGGCTTATTTCACCTACCATAATGTCTTTAAAGTAGAGTTGGATGCATCCTTTTCTTATTTTAAGCCTCACTTGAAGATAATTTTCCATTTATCTTCAAATAGAGAGGCAGGGAGGGAGACGGGGGGGGGGGGGAGAGAAACATAAAGGTGAGAGAGACACATAGATCGGTTGCCTTCTGCATGATCCTGACCAGGGCAGGGGACCGAACTGGAACAGAGGTACGTGCCCTTGACCAGGATCGAACCTGAGACTCTTGGGTCCATGGGCCAACGCTTTAACCACTGAGGCAAACCGGCCTGGGCTGGATGCATTCTTTGTATTAGCATTTATCGATAACACATGTATCCTAGAGCTGTGCTAAAGGCTTTACATGTTTCGTTTAACAAACTGAAGTAGGGTCTTGTTCTGTGGTCCTTTAACAGACAGTGAAACCAAGGCTGAAGAAGGTTAGATTAAGTGCAGGCCTGGCCTGGAACCCACCCTGCCTGTCTCCTCGCAGCCACACTGGCCTCAGGGCACCTTCCTGAAGCCCATCGCCTTGCTTCGGCTCAGTTGTTTCCGGTGAAAGCAGCCTGGTAACAGCAGGATTACTGGGTTTACTTCCCACTGGCCTCAAGTCAACGCTGCATGTGTAGGAAAGGAGGTTGTCTTTCTGGCATCTTACTGAGAAACTCCTACATAAGCTCCAGTCAAGACAAGTTAACGGCTATAGTTGAAGGGAACAGACACGTGAAATGTTTCAGCTAAGAAGTGAAATAAAAACTGAACGGTGCCTATTTAAGAATTTTCTCTAGCCCTAGCCAGATAGCTCAGCTGGTCAGAGCATCATCCCCACGCACCACGGTTTCGGGTCTGATCCCTGTCGGGGCACATGCAGGAATCAACCAGTGAAAACATAAATGGGTAGAACAGCAAATCGGTGCTTTCCTCTCTCTCTCTCTCTCTAAAAGAATCAGTAAATAAAATATTTAAAAAGGAGTTTTCTCCATGTACTGCTAAAAGTCTCTCAAAAGAAAAATTATAATAAAGTCAACTATCATGTATTCAGTAATCAGAACATAAGAACCATATTGTGTATGATTAAACACAAATTATAAGGCTACATTTATATATAAATTAACTTAAAAAAATAAACAAACTAGTCTTTGAGCTTGGCCAGTGTGGCCCAGTTAGTTGACCTTCGTTTCATGTACCAAGAGGTTACCAGTTCGATTCCCGGTCAGGGCACATGCCTGGGTTTCCGGCTCAACCCCCCAGCAGGGGCCGTGCAGGAGGCAGCCAATGGATGTTTCTCTCTCATCGATTTTTCTCTCTCTCTCTCCCTCTCCCTTCCTCTCTAAAACATAAAAAAAATATATTTTTTAAAACTAGCTTTTGATATATAATTCATATACCATACAATTCACCTATGTCTAGTATACAATTCAATACCTTAGCTTTCTGCTTGGATGAAATACCTTACCTCTGGCCCCTTGCTTTGACTGATTGATGGGGACAGCGACAGGAAGAGGTCAGCCCACACAGCTTCGGAGGCATGGTGGCCGTGGTAGTTCCCTATCAGTATTTGGTTTTTTGTCAGTGTTGTTTCTACATCCATGACCATTCCGTTTCTTAACCTTCGTCTTAAAGACTCATGTGTTGCAGGTTATTTGGAGTTCCAAAGAACTAGATAGCTAGAACAAAGCCAAAAGAGGGGAGGGGCGGGGGTTCGGAGGGCTGGGTGGAAAAGGTGAAGGGATTAAGGAAAAACGAACAAAACCTCATAGACACAGACAACAGTATGGGGGTACCAGAGGAAAGGGGGGGTCGGGGAGGGTAAAGGGGGCATACATAAGTGGTGACGGAAGGAGACTGCCTGTGAGGTGTGAACACAATACAATATACAGATGATGTATTATAGAATTGTACACTTGAGATTTATATAATTTTATTAACTAATGTCACCCCAATAAATTCAATGGAAAATTCAAACGAAAAGAGGTTAGTTTTCCAGGCGCGTCAGAAGCGCAGAGAGAGCAGAAGGCGCGGCCGTCCCCAGGCGCAGCAGCGCTTCCTGGGGCCCAGGCGCGGCCCGCTGCGAACGCAGATGCCTAGCAGATGCCTATCTCCGCTCCAGGTGACGCCTGTGAGGGCGGACCCTCCGGGTGCACAGATAAGAGAAAGACATATTAAGGGGGTCAGGCAAAAGAGGTGGGGGACAAAAGCAGTGGAGCCAGGTCCCCTTTCTTCCTCGCTTCTGCTCCATCTTCTTCCCCGGCACCCAGAGCCTAGGAGTAAGGCCGCGGAGCCCGCGCAGTGGCCTGAGCCCTGGGCCGACCACACCGACCCTTTCCCACGGTACTCCGACTCTGTGGCTGCTGCACAGGCCGGCTCAGGGCTGGGATGGAGGCGGAAGGGGACACCATGAATACTGGGCTTTTAACTGGGTCCGTGGCAAAACCTCAGCGACAAGGAAAAGACTATGTGACTCTGGAGGCAGAGGGGGGGTGGGGGGAAATTTCTGTGATCTGTGCAACAGAGAGGCTGAGATAGGAAATGTATCAGCCAACACCCAGGGGGCGCTATGTAAAGAAGCCGTTTTGGCACGTGGGTATATTAATTGACTTAACATGTGTAAGGTCCTGTGGGGTATCATGATCTTCATTTTACAGACAAAGAAATTGAGGTACAGAAAAATTCAATAACTTGCCAAATGTGAGATGGGAGGAGCAGAGCAGACTCTCCGCACTCACTATGGATCACAGAGCGTGCCCTCTGCAGGGTCCGGTGTGCTCACGTGTGCATGGGGATGTGACATGTCATGGTAATATTACATCGCTTCCTTCCCATGGAAGACAAGATTGATAAAGGCGGTACTTCTGGCACCAGATTTTCCCCTTTGAAAAGCAAATTTTATCAGTCTCTTTTCTTTTTTTTTTTTATCCTCACCCGAGGACATTTTTCCATATTTTTGTTCAGATAGAGTGGGAGGGAGGGAGAGAGAGAGAGAAACATCGACGTGAAAGGGACACATCGAGTGGCTGCCTCCCGCACGACCCAGCCAGGGCCGGGGACAAACTGTAACCGAGGTATGTGCCCTTAGCGGGAACCGAACCTGGGTCTTTCTGGACCGAAGGCCGACGCTCTAACCGCTGAGCAAAATTGGCCAGGGCTCATCAGTTTCTTTTCAACAGATGAGGTCATCCTTCAGTCATGACCTTGGCCCAGGTTGTCAGGATGAGACCTGGGCTGGGACATGTCTACAGAGTTGGGACAAAATCTGTAGCTGCTCACAGATTTTCACGGGTACTGTTGTCACCTGCCTCTCCCAGACCACAGGGACAAATGTGACTGATTTATTAATGTTAACATGATTGTTCTCTTTTTATTTGATTCAGATAGAAGCAAATGTGTAGCTAGGATGACTTTTGGAAACACATTTGCATTTTTGGTTCTAAAGGGAACTTGAAATATCTTTATTTTTATTTTTAAATTTTTAAAAATTATTATTATTATTTTAATCCTCGCCCGAGGATATCTTTTCATTTATCTTCAGACAGAGTGGGAGGGGGGAGAGAGAGAGAGAGAGAGAAACATCAGTGTGAGAGAGACACATTGACTGGTTGCCTCTTGCAGGACCCGACCAGGGCCGGGGACAAACCACAACCGAGGTATGTGCCCTTGGCCAGAATCGAACCTGCAGCTCATTGGTCATGGGCTGATGCTCTACCACTGAGCCAAACTGGCCAGGGCTCTTTTTTTATTTTTAAATTCTGACCCCTCCTTTTCTTTGACTTTCTTACACAGTGTTTTTGTTTTGAGTATCTGTGAAAGATATGAGGGTGAAAAACTAATCTATGTGCCTATTTGGTCAATTAATTCACCCCACGGATATACTGCCAACCCACCGCAGGCACGATTCTAGGTTCCTTGTTTAATGAGATTTACTACATACTTGTTGTGTTAAGCATGTGAGATACAGGGAAAGAGTAAAACATACTTCCTACCCTCCACAGCAGCAGCAATAGGTGGGAACTCAAATTCCAAGTGGGCTGGCTTGTGACCTGTCTTTGAGGTTTTCAGGGAAAACTTCCTTGGGACAATGTTGACATTAAACATTAGTGACACCAAAACTGTATGCGGCTTAAACGCTGACAGTGAAATATGGCCCCTGCTGGCTTTGACGGTGAGAACAGTTTGATTGAAATGCTTGCCACTCAGAGATCTTCACTTCCTGGATTAGAACCCTTAGCCTGTGTTTGCTTATTACTCAAGTCCACTGGGTCTGGTTCTTCCGAGGCATTGAAAACACGCCAACCTGGTGTGGCATGAAAAACAAGCTTGTGTGTTCTGCAAATATAACCTGGGAGCAGAGTTACCGTCACCCACTCGGCGAGAGGAGAGCCGACGTCCTGCTGCAAGCAATGGACATGGAGAAGGTCAACTCCATGGACTTCAGGGAGTTTGTGGATGTGTTTGGGAATGTCATTGAGAGATGTCCTCTGATTGCAGCGGCTGTTTGGTCCCAGCGCCCATTCTCTGACTTGGAAGATCTAGAGCAGCACTTTTCGGCCTTTATCGATGCTCTGCCGCAGGCAGGTAAGGCTTCAGCGTTAGACTCGCCCACTCTCCGCAAAGGGGTTTCAGATACTCTTTTTTTTTTTTTAAATCTTTACTCGAGGATATTTTCCCATTTATTCCAGATAGAGTGGAGGGAGGGAGAGAGAGAAAAACATCGATGTGAGAGCAACACATCAACTAGTTGCCTCCCACAAGATCCTGGCCAGGGCCGGGAGGAACTGCAACCGAGGTACGTGCCCTTCCCCGGAATCGAACCCGAGATTCTTTGGTCCTCGGGTGGGCTCTAACCGCTGAGCCAAACTGGCCAGCGCTCAAATATTCTTATCAAAACATGTTTAGATTGTTCAGTTGGTTATAATTGATATATTTATTTAGTGAATTTTACTGTGAGGGTCACCAAGTTTTCTCAGAATTAGTAAGCGGGAGCCAGGCACTTGCAAGGTGTTAGCCAGAAGTAAGATGAAGGAATGCATGTTGGCCAGGTAGAGGGGCTGTTAAATATTAAAGCTGTGAGGTCATGAGGGAAGAGGCTGGGGCCTCACACGGACTCAGAGGCCAAAGGCCAGGCTGAGGGCCTACGCTCTCTCAGCTGAGGGTGTTCACTTGGGGAATGTCCTGTGTGCAGGACAGAAGACAGGTCGATATCAGAATATCTCAGGAGCCCAGGGGAAAGAGCAAACGGCTGACATTTTTATCAGAAAGGGCCAGTTTGGGCTGGACTGCCGAGGAAAGTAAACTCATTCAGCTCAGCTTCTCCCGCAGGGGCGCGGAGGAGAAAAGACACAAATCTGCAAGAATTCCTCTGGAGAAAGGGAAAGAAATTGTTGATTTCCTCTGGGCAGAGAGAACAGGAGGCCTTTCTGGGTGGGGGTGGAGGGCTAGGCAAGCCCCAGGTGACAGCCTCACAGGGGTCTAGAGGCCAAGGGCGCTGTCCTGATACTCCTGCCAGACGCCGAGAGAGGGTGGGCGGGTGGGGGCCAGCGCTGCCCCCACGGGGACGCTCCCCTCTCTTCCACAATGAGGCCATCACAGTCTTGCCCATCACCCAGGTCTTTAACATCTGGGATGGTTTCCCATTGTCAGATGAACGTCTCCCAAGTAAGAAACTCATTTTATTTCAGTTTGGTCACATGCAGGAAGAGTGGAAGATAGCGTTATAAAATGAAACTGACAGAAACGTTGGGGCCACATTGACACCCATTTCTCAGGGCCCCTCCAAAGCTGAGCTCTCCCCTCCACCACTGGGCTCAGGCCTTCGGGGAGCCTTCTGACTGATGACCCCCAGGAACAGTCAGCCCAAAGCCTGAGAGCAAGCTGGAAACAGCATGAGCCCCTGTTCAAGATGTCCAGCAGGAAAATAGACAAGGCCAGATGCAAGTCTTCTAAACTGGAGGGGAAATGATTTTTAAAGGGTGTGAATGCCGCCCAGTTGGTGTGGTTCAGTGGTTGAGCGTCGACCCATGCACCAAGAGGTCGCCAGCTCGATTCCTGGCCAGTCAGGGCACATGCCCGGGTTGTGGGCCTGATCCCCAGTAGGGACGTGCAGGAGGCAGCCAATCAATGTTCTCTCTCATGGATGTTTCTATCTCTCTCTCCCTCTCCCTTCCTCTCTCTAAAATCAACAAGGAAAAAATAAAGGGTATGAATGTCTTAGGAATGACATTCTTTTTTTTTTCAATCAGGAAAAGAAAAAAAAAAGAAGAAGAAAAATACCATGATCTGTCTCAATACCCAAAGGCGTGGTAGGGCCAGGGAAGGAATATATTAAGAGTATAAATAATCTAAATGTATATTCACTGGTTTATACAGTTTTTCAACATTTCTTTGGGGTTTGCTCTGTACCAGGAGCTTAGATAATGAAATAAAAATTTCTCTATTTCTGTCTTTTTTCCCACCAGCAGTCACCCCATTCAGTTTGACCAGAAGCTAGTTAAGGTTAGTTAAGGTCTAGCTAGGGGATCTCTCTGCTGGTGGAGCCTGCTTCTCAGCCCTGCACTGCTCCGTCCTCGCTTCTCCAGGCAGCTGGGGGCGGAGCCTCAAAGCTGTGGGCTGCTGCGTATCTAATCACCTTAATGACATCAGATAGTTAGCAAAGTGGTAATAGCAACAATAGTTAAAAGGTATTCAGCCCTTCCTATCAGTGTGTTCCAGGCGTTTTCCCAAACACTTAGCCTTTGTTAATTCATTTAAACCTCATACTAATCCTATAAAACAAGTATTATTATTTTCATTCCCATTTTAAAGAGGAGAAAACTGAAGTGCAGAGAGATTAAGTGACTTGCTGAAGGACACACAGCTAGAAAGGGGCAGAACTGGGATTCAAACCCTGATCGTCAACCCAGCAGCCGTTGAAGGATTTTCCAGAAAATCAGAAGCAAAGTCTAGAAACAGTTTCTAGGAGTTTTATTCATTTCTTTACTAATTCATTCAATTAACATAAATGCTTGATGTCACAGATCTTGTTTTGGTTGTTTGAATAATCAAATAAAATGGGACTGACTACGTAGCCTGCTTTTATTCCTTGAATAGTAAACAACAAACTGGGCGTGATAGTCTATATCCTAAAAGGGACTTAGATTATTGTTTTTCTCTCACTTGAGGATATGTATTTTATCGCTTTTAGAGAGAGGAAGGGCGAGAGAGAGAAACATTGATCGCTGCCTACCGCATGCACCCCAACCATGTGCCCTACCGGGGAATCAAACCTGCCACCTTTGGGGCCCAGCACTATGCTCCACCTAATTGAAGCACACTGGCGGGCTAAAAGGGACTTTAAAGATATGTGCAGGCTACGGTAATCTACATGGTTAAACATTTGTTTTAAACGATTTAAGAAAACACTCTACCATTAACAGGACACTGAAAATCCTGTTTCTAGAGTAAAGCAAGGTTGACAGTCCATTAACAATCCATTTAGGTTACGCTATGATGACTATTAGCCAGTAGGTGGCAGTCCAGGATTAATATTTGGCTTGAGCAATAATTGGCAAAGTATCCTTTCAAGCCAACCAACTTGATTTCCAGGAAAGGGGAATGGCAATAGTAAAGGGAAGAAGGTTGAAACACACACACACACACACACACACACGCACGCACGCACACGTGCACACGCACGCGCAGCCAATAATAAAGCAGTTCAGTATTGATTTGTGTTAAAAATCAAGGAGCAATAAAACTGTTATAATAGAGTTAATTGTGCTTCTATTTGACCCATTTCAGAATTGCAATAATGGCATAATTCATTATTTAATACTTAATTCAAAACATAGTTGTTGAATTAATGGAGTTAGATACTAATAAATGCCTTGAATGCAGGCTGTAATGTAGATGAGGCTATTAAAATGTGTTCTGTCAAAAGATATATAAAACTCCTTCCCAAGAGTGATGTGTTAGTCAATTAATACTTATTGAGTGGTCCTGGCAGGGTAGCTCAGTTGGTTAGTCTGTCATCCTTACACGTCAAGGTTGCAGGTTCGATCCCCAGTCAGGGCACATACAAGAATCAACCAATGAATGCATAAATAAGATGAACAACAAATTAATGTTTTTCTCCTTTCCTTTCTTTCTCTCTAAAATCAATAAATGAAATAAGAAAAATACTTATCAAGTGCCCACCATGCCCCAGAAATTGTCCTGGGCACTGGGACCGAGACAAGTCCTTGCCCTCAACGAGTTAACATTCTAGGGAGTCGGGACAGAATTAACATAAATCAATAAGATAATTTCAGATTCTAGAGACTAGTAGAAGAAAATATGCACTAATGTAGAAAATACATAATAAAAGAGGTTTCTCTTAGAAAATGACATTTGAGTTTAAAATCAAAAGATGAGAGGAAGCAGTCAAAAATCTAGGAGAAGGCCACTCTGAGGAAGGGGACCTGAGACTTTTGGCACTTGGGGGGCACAGAAAGACTAAGGTGGCTCTGGCAGGTTTTGCTCAGCGGTTAGAGCACTGGCCCTCGGATGAAGGGTCATGGGTTTGATTCTGGTCAAGGGCACATGCCTGGGTTGCGGGTTGGATCCCTGGCCCTGGTTGGGGTCGTGGGGGATGTGTCTCTCTCATATCAACGTTTCTCTCTTTCTCTTCCCCTCCCTCCCTCTCTTCCACTCTATCTAAAAGGCAATGGAAAAATATCCTCAGGTGAGGATTAAAAAAAAAGAGGACCGAGGTGGTTGGCCAGTGATGAGGAGTGGAGGACTATGAGGAATGAGAGGTCAGGTGGAGGGCCTGCTGTGGTAGCCCGGGTGAGAGGCGATGGTCCTTCGAAGGAGGACTGAAGGAGGGGAGATGAAGAGGTATGGCTGGGTCCTCAACACAGATTTTAGAGTTAGAGCCAACAGGTTTGGGGATTCGTTGGGGGAGGCAGGTCAAAAACGAAGAAAAATTAAGAATAATTCCTAAGTTTTTAGTCTGAGCACCTGGGTGGGTGGTGGCGCTGTTTTCTACAACGAGGAAGACAAGAATCGCGAGGGCAGGCTGGAGAATGGGAGTCTGCTAAGTCTGAGACGCCTGGTAATCACCTGGATGAAAATACAGTGTGTCCAGGCGGACCACAGCAAAGGTACTCAGTGGAAAGCTGAGGGCAGACTAGATCTGGGTGTCATCAAAGACTTGATGGCATTTCAAACCATGGGGCTAGATGAGGACACTTAGGGCATCATTGTAAACACAGAAGGGAGGAGGTGTGAGTCCTGAGTCCTTCAGAGTTAGTATCTGGCAGAGCAAGAACCACTGGGGAAAGCAGGCAAGTGATGGTAATCTTTCAGGAAGGAGAAGGTCTCAACCCTGTGACACAAAGAATTTCAAGGGAAAAGGACAGCACTGGACATGCCCGTCACCTGTGCCCATGCTGCATGCAGACGAGTTGGTGGGTGGTAGAGCGAACCTGGAATGGGAGGTGAAGAAGTGGAGATACTCTGTAGATAGCTCCTTTTAGTTGTCATAAGAAGGAGCAGAGACATGGGGACATCTAGAAGACAACAGGGACTCAAGGGAGGGATTTAATTTTGTTTATGGGACAAGTGATTCTAAAGCATGTTTGTGTGTAGGCGATAAAGTAGCGAGTTGAAGGAAGAGAAATGATGTTGGAAATTGCAGGTTTTGATGGAAAGAGAGGCTGGTTCCAAGGACACCAGTGGAGAGATTGGTCTTCAGCAGAGAGAAGAGATGATCCATTGTACCAGGAGGGAGCACAAACTAGTTGGCACAGATGTAGGGACACAGGTGGATTGGAATGGGGTTCTATGGAATTGTCTGCTCTTCAGTGTCCACTATTGTCTGCCCCGTCTTCTCCTATTGGAACAAAAAGTATCAGCTCTGTTCCAGTAGGAATTCTTCTAGATGCAAAGATTTCATGACTTGTGGCGGCAGCAAACAATAGGTCTCCACACCTACATCTTTACACGTGATGTCACTGGCACAGGCAGTGAGTCTAAGATTTTAGAAAAGACTGAGGAATAGGCAGCATTGAAATGGCCCTGAAAACCCGGGACATTCAAGTGTCCTGATTAGCACTTCCGGCATTCCAGGTGGGAGGCCTGGCATGATTGGAGGCAGGGTGGTGGGAGTACCAGCCCCTCTGGGGTTGAAGGCCAGGGCTAGGAGTGCTTAGGAGAGGTGCAGTGTTGAAAAGGAAAGCGAAGCTTTGCTGCAAGTCTGGGGACTGGATCAAGGCAATCTTGGACAGCAGTCAAGGGCTCAGTGGTTTGGGGCAATAAAGACAGAGGACAGGACTGGACATCAGGTTCTATTTCTTGCAGCTGAGGAGTGTGTGTGTAAGTTCCAGTTTATTTTTTAGTCTCTTTTCTTCTCTTTGCGCTGCCCCTTTTCTTGGCCTCCTTCCTCTCCTGCAAACAGTGAGAGAAAACACATACTCAGTCCTAGGCAAACATTAACCCCAGGCAATGTTTTCAAGAGAGGACACAGACCCAGGGGAATGAGAAGAGGTGCAAAGGCAAGAAGGAAAGAGACTGTGGGGCGTGTGGGACAGGAAGGGAATCCCTTCAGGGGCGTAAGGGGCAGGCCCTGCCCCCACCTGGGGCCTCCCTCTGAAAACTTCGGTCCTGAAGCTTCAGCTGTGCCCCTGGAGAGTAAGAAATAGGGGGAAGGGAAGCTGAGAGACAGGAGTCCTGTGAGAGGACTGGGGGTCAGCCCCCTTGCTTGAAGGCTGCTTTGAAAATCTGAATATGCAAGGAGGGGACACAGGGGCCAGTGCTGCCAGGTGGGGACCTACAGAGCTGGCAGGATTCAAAGTTCCCCACACTCCAGCCCTTCAGGGCTGGGTGGGTGCGCAGTGGACCCAGAGGCCCGGGCACAGCCGGCTCTGACTCAGGGCTGAGGCGTCACCAGGTAGGGAATTTAATATGTACCTTTCTTCGCCACCTGGACGGGCCTGATGCAGGAAGCGGGAAAGAGCCTCCTCCTGTTCACTTGAGAGGGGTTCTAACACTGTAGTGGTACCACTTACCTTTACAGAGGTAGCCAGTGCTCTGAAGATGCCCATGATTTGGAGTCCAGGTGCCTGCAGCTACTGGCTAAGTGACCTTGGGGAGGTCACCTAACCCTTTCTGAGGCTCCATTGAATTCTCTCTTAAATGCAGTTCTCCCCACTACTCAGGACTCTGGTCCATGAGTTAGATGGTACAATCACAATCATCCTTTAACTGGGCAGAAATGATAAAGTTTGAGTAAAGGAATGTTTACACCACAATGAAGAAGGGTTTTATTTTTTAAATTTTTATTTATTGATTTCAGAGAGAGAGAGAGAGAGAGAGATTTGTTGTTGTTGTCCCATTTATTTATGCATTCATTGGTAGATTGTGTATTTGCCCTGACAGGTCTCGGATTAGGGGGATGATGCTCTAACCAGCTGAGCTACTGGGCCAGGGCTGAAGGAGGGTTTTTAATGATCTCCTTTTCCAAAAGAGCCCCCTGCCTATTCCCAGAGCGCGAGTCAGATTCTTCCAGCCGCACTTCAGTCAGTTACACCGAGGTTACTATGATTGAGAAGAGTGGCTGTTGAACATTTGCTGTGCTGTGTTTTAGGTAGATGAGTTGTCTCTAATCCTCACACCTACTCAGCAAATTTGGTGTTATCGTCTTCGTTGTACAGGTCATGGCTTCCTCTCACCGTAGCTGAAAGCCCACCCAGCCCCGAGGATTCCATTTCTCTCTGAGAACTGAGTAGAAAGACTGGCCAGGGCTGGATTGTCATTGGGGGGGGGGGGGGTCCCATGGTAGGTCTAGGGCATTATGAGAAGCTACCCTCCAAGGAAACGTTATACTCTGCGGTCTATTTGGGATCTCCTGATGGGGAAAGAGAATGTTTCAGACAGGGCGGGTGGTGTGTGGGTGCTATTTTCCTAAAAGGAGGAAAGCCACTTTCATTCAAAGGGCTGTGGAATTCTGGTTGGGAAAAAAAATTTTTTTTTCCAGTTAATCAACTGCAGGGCTCTTTGGATGCCTGATTCCAGAAGGGCCACAAAGTCCTGGGCATTAATTTGCCATGCGCCAGGGATGTTACCCCCGGAGACCCTCCCCGTCCTCCTCCTTTGGAAGAGAACGAACCCCACTCCTTGGCCTTTGCAGGAAGTCCTCGGGCCCTCCTCCGGCCCTCTCCGACATCAAAGCCCCCCTGAGAGCAAAGCACTTTGAAAAGATACGAAATGCTCCGGCTCCTTATCGAGCCCCTGCTCCCTCCCGAGCAAGTCGTAAATTCCGAGTCTCGGCGGCCCCCTCCGCTCTTCATGCCCCAAGGTCTTAAAAGACAAATTTGTCACTTCCCGCTCCGCCCCTGGGTCCTGGCCGAGGCCGAAAGAAGCGGGGACCGACGGGCGCAAGGTTCGGGACGTGCTTGAGGGACGAGCGCAATCGGCACCCCTGCTCCTTCAGGACATTCCTTTTGGTCCCGCGGCCTCTCCTGGGGACCTCGGTTCCCTCCCGAAGCCTCTTCGGGGCGGGGCCGCCCGCAGTCCCGTGCGCCCGGACTGCGCTTCGGTAACGCGCCCCGCCGCGTGTCTGTGCTTCCCCGCAGGCCAGGAGGGCATCCTGCGCTGCTACCCGGACCTGGCAGGCCGCGAGCTGCAGCGGGGCACGCTAAGTGCGGAGTCGCAGCGAGAGCACAGCGCCGCGGGCCTCACCAGCCTGCGCGCGGAAGAGCGGCTCCGGCTGGCTGAGCTCAACGCGCAGTACCGCGCGCGCTTCGGCTTCCCCTTCGTGCTGGCCGCGCGCCTCAGCGACCGGGAGGCCGTGGCCCGCGAGCTAGCGCGCCGGCTGCGCTGCCCGCCCGCGCTGGAGCTGCGCACGGCCCTGGGCGAGGTGAAGAAGATCGGCCGCCTGCGGCTCGCTGACCGCCTCGGCGCCGACTCCGCCCGAATGTAGCGGCACCGCCCGGGCCTGGACCGCGCGGGGACCGCGACCCCGCACTGTGCACCCTGGGCGGGAGGCTGACGCCGGCCCCGACCCGCGTCCACACGCGCGCACAAAGGAGGGGAGAATTGAGGCAATCATACGAATAATGAGCTCTTTTGTTCACCACCCCCTCACACACACTCGCACGCTTTGCCAAAACATCTATGTAGTTTCGGGCTTTGCCCCATTTATCCAGATCACTGCTTCAATTCTTCACTCGTTTTGCAGCCCGTTGACACCACCAGCTTTTGTGGTTTCCAAAGCGCTTATCCACCTCTGGCTCCCCATCCTCTCCTGCTAAGCCGGGTTGCCAAGCAAAACGGACGGAAAAGGAATCTTTTATTCCATAGAGGTTTGTCTGTTTTTTCTCCTCTCACCTCATTTGCTGCACGGACATTTATATGTGAGCCGAAGCGACATTCTCATTCCCAGGCACCTACAGAAGCCAGAAGCCGGTGCAAGGAAAGCAAGCGCTGGCCTCGGTCCGTGGCGCCAGCCGCGCCAGGCATGGGGAGGGTGGGCAGGAGGGAGCCCGAGACGGGCCAGCGCTGGGAAGGCGCCCCGTGGGGCAGGCGGAGTGGCTGCTGAAGTCGCTCAGACGAGAGGGTTGGGAGTGGGGCATCTCTAGCAGCATGGGCCTGGAGGCCAGGGGTCTAGGCCTGTTGTCTCTCCTGAAGGTGGCCTCATCAGAACTTCAGACTGCCCAGGAAACACATTAGTCGTTTAAAAAGTTAACAATAAAAATTAATAAGTTAATAACACTCGTTGAGCAGTGCTGGATATTGTGGCCCCCAGGATGAAGATGGAACACCATGGCTGGTAATGGAAGAAAGTCGGTGCCCATAGCAATCTCTTTGGCCGCAGTAGGTTGGCTTGGTAGAGGGTGTCAACCCTGGCTGACTGGGCAGCTCTCTGCACTGGCGGCCAGGGTGTCCACTCCTCCAAAAGGAGCTGCCCCCCCCCATCCCTCCATCCCCCACTCTCACACACTGGAAGGTCTAACAGACCTTCATAGGTTTATGTTGGCAGAGGAGAAACTAACCATGTGTATCCTCTTGATGCGGAGGTAGAAATGAAAGTAGAGTTGGCCCTTTTAAAGACAAGATCCTCCATTAGTGACCAACCCATCTGGGTTAGCAGCAGCACCAGCAGCACCAGCAGCAAGATCTTAATTTTCCGTAAAAACCGGTGTGGTCGCACCTTTGGTTAAGGCTGAATTCAACGGAAAGAATCCATTCTGGTACCACCGGAATATTAATCAAGTAACCTCATTCCCCTTTCCCTCTTACAGGTGTTCCCTGTTAGTGGCAAGGGTGAAGGCGTAGTGGCCGGTACCAGGGAAGTGAGCTGTGGCCACCGGTATCTCTGTAGGCCAGGCCTGCGCCAGATGCCTTCTCCGGGTGTAGGAAGGCCAGGTGCACACTACAAAGAAGACGCAGTGACTCCGTTTCGGTGCTCTAGGACCCAGAGGCAATGTGGAGCCCTTGGGCCTAAGGCTAGACGCCTGATTCTCTCCTGTCCGGGGAACTTGGGGGCTTTCCTGAGGTGCACAAGAAACCTATTGCTTGGCCCATGGTACAAGTGCCACAGGCTGGACCTGATACTCAGAATAATGCACTAGATTCAAGGCACCCTGTCCAACCCTGGCTGAGTCCGGCTCTTAGATAGATGGACCCCTAAATGCGGAGTCTGGGCTCTTTCTGTAAATGTGCTCACCCTAAGATAGGCAGACCTTCCCAGGGCCCAGATTGCCAGCGGTGCTTTTAGAACGAGTGTGGATGTGATCTGGACCTCTCAGGCACGACCTGGTGTCTCCAATTTCAGTTACATTTCAGCGGTTCAAAGCTTGTAAAGGGAATTGTTTATTTCTGCAGGAGGGGATACGCGTGGGGAAAGATGCTGGGCCCGCCCCTTCAAAGGAGCTGGGGGTTTAAGGGAGGGAGAGCTGGCTGTGTGGTGTCTCTTTCAAAGATGCCAGAGGCTTTACAGCGGCAAGGGCGGCCGCGGGGCTGGGCGCGGGGCTAGGAAGGGCCCTATCCACAGCCACTGGCAGCTCCTGCTTTCTTCTTGGGTAGGCGCAGGGGCAGAGGCCATTTCTGGAGCGGCCAGGCCGCCCGTGGCTGCCGAGATCTGGCAGGGCAGTTTTCTCAGACCACAGTTGGGCTCAAACCGCGACACACTCTGAGCTTCTGCCGGCCTGGGCCTGGCGGAGACTTTTTCTTGGTTCCGCGCTCTGGTGCGCAGGATGCGGGAGACAAACCCGACAGCAAGGATCGGGCCCGGACTTGGACCCCTGCATGCGCACCAGCCAGGGCGGTTTGGGTGGCCAGAGCGCGCCCGGCGTGTGTGGGGGCTCAGAAGTGGTGGGTGCAGATGCCAGGGTGAATCACAATACTTTACTTACCAATTCGTCACGAAAGCACCACACCGACGCTTAGAGGTCGAGGAGCTGATTTCAGTTTCCGGACCCCTCGGACCCCTCCATGCACGCGCCCTTCTGAGGAGGGGCTGCTTCGAGGATTTTCACGTCCCCTTAAAATGTGCGCGCCCAGCCCCTGCGCGCCCTGAGTGAAGGCACCGGACAGCCCTCGCCAGGAGTTCGCGGGCCCAACCGAGCTTGTCTTTCACCTGCGAAACCTGGAGCCTGAATGGAGGCTCATTTCAATTTCCCATGAGGGGGCTCTTTGGTCTTGTGTCTAAATGCTGCCCCCGACACTGATGTGGGAAGAAATGAAAGGGGGAAGATACCACAATTTCTTTGCATAACCATTACTTATTTTACATTTGACACATTCTCAGAGAACAGCAACAGGATATCAATTTTCATTTAAAAATGAAATGCTCGCCCTCGCCAGTGTTGCCCAGTGGTTAGAGCATAGACCAGCGCACGGAAGGGTCTCGGGTTCGATCCCTGGTCAAGGGCAGGGACCTTGGTTGCCGGCCGTGGGGGAAGCAACCAATGTGTCTCTCTAATATCGATGTCTCTCTCTCTTCCTCCCTCACTTCCACTTTCTCTAAAAATCAATGGGAAAAAAAATATCCTCAGGTGAGGATTAACAACAACAACAACAACAAAATAAATAAATAAAGACCTCTTTTCAGAAAGAATTGACTGTGGGATAAAAGTGGATACCTTCTTTGGCAATTGGAGAAAACTCTGGGATGGAATTTATGGGAAATTCACCATCCAATAAATGAATAAACTGCAGTTAGCAGATACCTGTGAAAGGGAGAAATAAATAGGACTGGAAAGTCTTGAGAACTGTCCCCAAAGCAGAAACTGATTGTTGGTGCAGTTTGGGGTGGGGTGGGAGTTGGGGTTCCCGGAGTCCTGCTGGTTGGTTTCCTATTGCGGAGGCAGTGTTTCCAGGGTGGCACCCGCAGCCTTAGTAATAATTAACATGTGCACAGAATTACAGAGTGCATTACAGCAGCAATTTTCAACCTTTTTTTGTCTCATGGCACACATAAATTACTAAAATTCTGTGGCACACCAAAAATTACATTATATTTTTTGCCCATCTGACAAAAAATTAGGTATAATTTTGAATCATTCGCACCAGAAGACCAGTGTTGCATTGGCTGTTGTCATTTTTTTATTAGACAGTCTAAGGGGAAAGAAGTCAGTGACCCTGACTAAACAGTCAGGTATTGCATGTCTTAAAAATTCCTGTGGCGCCCCAGCGGGCCCCAGCACACCAGGTGGAATCGCTGCGCCATAGCAGCTCATTTAATTTTAATGGCTGGAAGAGCTAGCTCTGCGATTCTGAGAAAGTCACCTAACCTTTCTGGGCCTCAGATTTCTCCCTTGTGAAATGGAAGGGCTACACAGACACTGAATCCCGGCTCCTCTCCAGGGAGAGTACTTTCCAGTGGGCCCAGTGACTCAAGGAGAGCTGAACCTGCACTTGAGCTCTTTCCTGCAGTCCCATAGAGCCTACTGTGCAGGGCTTCCGAGGAACATATTTTCATATGATAAACAAAGGTCACTTTAAGCACGAGGAACTGGCAAGTGAACAAACGGTGACTGGAGGCCATGTGATCACCTGGAGCTGTTGCTGGCCTCAGGGCCTGATTCCCCCAGCATCAAGTTTTCCTCTGGCTAAGACCCCAAGTCCCTCCCTCTCGGGCTTTAAATCGTTCTCTGTGCCCATCCATCACTCAGAGTTAGAGTGTGTTATACAACACGCACGCAGTGTCCTCAGACTGATTTCAGCATAAAGGGAGAAAATGGGCCACCCCACCATTTACTTACAGAACTTTCACCCAATCAGCAAAACCAGATTTCTGCTCCCAAATTCCACCCCTTCTCCTGAGGCTTTTCATTTTCCTAGACCTCCTGGCTTTGAGAAAATATCTTCGATAGCAGAGCAGGGAGAAAGGAACTGCAGCCTTGGATCAGGACGCGGAGGTGCCTGCGCGGAGTGATGCGGCTGCTTCCCCACCCTGTCCCTGGGTCCACCAGGGACCTCTCACAAACCAGGAACTTTTCCTCAGGTAGAGGACCCGAAACTAAGTTTGACTCTGCTGGGCAGGGACAAATCTGCTCCTGGGCAGCTTTGAACAACCGTGGTCCCTCCCTGCTTTTCAAGATGAACATGTTGGGCTCCATGTGGCTTGATGGGGCTGAGCAGGTGATGGGCTCTGGGGAGGCCCCACAGAGGACACTGTGATCCACTTCCTTCCCAGCGAGGTTAGCTGAGTGGGCTGTTGCAGGCCAGGGTTGGGATGTTGGGGTCAAACCAGCCATTATCCAGCCTTCCTTTGTATGTATGTGTGAGTGTGTTTGTGGGGGAAGAGGGGTGCTGATTGACTGTAATGGCTGAACTAAACTCCAGTGAATCCCCAAACTCCCATGAAATCAAGATTGAGTCATTTTTCCAACAGCAATATAGATTGCCAAGCCGAATGTTTTATCAGACATTTTCTTCCTTCTTACTCTTCTTTAATTATCCTGGGAACTCAGGTCA